TTTTTTTTTGCTAAAAGTATCTTTCGATATTTACACAAACTTACATAACTTATTTTAAAATTATGCCTTTTATAGACAGTCGGTCAGTCTAACGCCCTCGATCACCGTTGAGGCCGGCCTACCAGAAACGCTACAATCCAGACGCAACGGGACGATCAATCTTTAGTTTTTAGAACAAATCCAATACTTAGGCTCGACTATCCAAGAGCGTCCTTCCCATCCAACATTTTCCAAAGCTTGCCAACCCAGATCATACTGGACGGTTGGTTCGGTCCGGATTAGATCGTGCATTATTATCACTTGATAAAATTTTGAAAACACTTGTTTTATTACTTAGCTTATGATTAGGCAAAATCAATTTTTACAAGCATATAAGGTTTGGATCTGCGTTTCAAAGGCATTACATAACAAAAATCATAACTTTTGCAAGAACACTGAAATCTCCTACGTCTGATGATCCTAGCGTCAACCATGCCCCTCTAATGGATCCCGACTAAGATTCCTGCAACAAATAGAGTGGGATGAGTTGTAACGCCCCCGATCACCGTTGAGGCCGACCTACAAGAAACGCTACAACCCAGACGCAATGGGACGATCAATCTTTAGTTTTTAGAACAAATCCAATACTTAGGCTCGACTATCCCAGAGCGTCCTTCCCATCCAACATTTTCGAAGGCTTGCGAACCCGGATCATGCTTGACGGTTGGTTCGGTCCAAACTAGATTGTGCATCATTATCACTTGATAAAATTTTGAAAACACTTGCTTTATTACTTAACTTATGATTAGAGAAAAATCCATTTTTACAAGCATATAGGGTTTGGATCCGCGTTTCAAAGGCATTACATAATAAAAACCATAAGTTTTGCAAGAACACCGAAATCACCTACGTCTGATGATCCTAGCGTCAAACATGCCCCTCTAATGGATCCCGACTAAGGTTCGTGTAAAATAGAGTGGGATGAGTAATCTAGTATTACTCAGTGAGTTAGAGCCTTACTAACAATCAAGTGTAGGATTCCCCGCCCAAAACCCAAAATAACAAGCAACACACAACAATCACGCAACAATACAAGGCAATCAATCAAGACAAGCACCACAAGCAATTATTCACGAGAGTTTAGACTCACACAACGATCCTACGAACTATATGAATGCAAGTACAGAATTCCACTCAACTCTCAAGGCCTCGCAGACCCGTCGACCATCCCCGGGCAACCCGCGGAAGTTGCAGCCACACAAGCACACAAATTCCCAGTTCCACCAGTGAACTCATGCGCCGTCGCGCATGCGCGGCCAGGGGAGCTACCCAGTGCCCTCCGCGCTTACATGGTTATCCCGCAGTACTTGCGGTTCGTGATAACCATGATCCATCTGGGAACGTCGGTCTGCCACTCATCACATCTCACTTATGCAGGCAACTACGACGACATGCATTAATACGATGATCCTACTTCACTAGTAACTTATCACCGTACACATCAACATAATCCTATCAAGTAGTCTAGAGACAAATGCTAGCAGTTACCGCGTACAATCAACTTATCAAGTTAACAACCAAGAACAAGCATATATCGCATAAACGAAGGAAAATCATCAAGTAAACTTATCATGCAGCATGGAATAAAGATGCTAGGTTCAAGCAGTTTCATGTGGTGGTTTATCAAGATCAAGCAGATTAGATTTTAAGTGATATGACAAATTGTCAATAGGCCAAGCGACACCGCAGTCACCACGACCAGCCTGGTCATTACGCACGAAACGCCATCAATCAACGATCAAGCTCAAGGGAAAGAACGCATGTCTCTATTATCAACCTACGCGCAAGGTTCAAGCAACCGAGGTTCCTAGCGAACACGACACCGTCTAAGCAAGATGAACGAGTATGCATGCATTGATTCAACAAGTCAAGCTCAACAAAAAAAGGCAACATAAAATCAACCCGCGGGGATTCGACTCATGAATCCCCGGGACCCAACTCACAGTGATCGGCGGGTGGAGACGTGGACTGATCCTTCCTGAGACTCGATGAACCTGACGCTAAGGATAAATTTATCTGAGCTACGGATCTCAACATAACGGGTAAGTCAGACCTACACAAAAGTCAAAAGGACTAAATCTTACTAGAAAAATGACTCGAGAATCCTTCACGATCAAAGGAAAAATCAATAATTTTTCTAAGAAATGTAACTAGAGAGACAAGGGCAGAACAAGGGTAGGAAAAACGGAAAAAGGTTGAGAACTAAGGTTGGGGCTCTATTTATAGAGAAAATCTCAGATTCTCTTGATTTTTTATGTACCCTATATTTTACCATTTTTACTATCTATTTTACTATGGTTTTTACATATATTAATAAAGCTTTTCGACCAAAAAAGGTAGTTTTCTCGTATTTGTAGATTTTAAGGTCTTAACAGGTTTTATCATCAAAAAGATGTAAAATAGAGAAAAAGAAGTGTTATCTATGATGCAGCTACTCATTCAAGTCAAAGGAACCAAGCCAAGTCGTTTTATCTTGAAGATAATGCATATTCTCAAACTAGACAGAACATATATGTCAGACGTTCGCTGATGAATGGAGGATCAAATCAATTGGAAATTTAATGAAACGTGGTATACAGATAGCCCTTTGAGTTAGGTTTCCAATTGGGTTGGAATTTCATCAATTGGAGCTGTACTTTAGAAGATACACTGGAAACATTGAGGACATGTCAAACTGCCTTTGAAGTGAAATGAGTGCACAAGGAAGCCAAGCACCGGGCCGCCCATGGGCCGATGATCCAGACCTTTGCCGACCTTCTAGAAGCGCCATAGAAGCCTCAAATATTGGTCACGCAACCCAACCGGTATTGTGACCGGTATTGCCTCAGTTTCGACCAAAAAGACATTTTTACCCGAAGAAGACCTAGCCAACTTAAGCCTCCTTAAACCCCTATATAGCCTCTCTAGGAACTTAAGCAGCCGGTCATAACAGCCTAAATCAATACCTAAACATGTATTTCGTTTTTTTCTTGTTCTTAATGCATATTTGATCTAATAGCCTTTAAGGATAGATTGCCTTTGCCCTATTGCGAAGAGATGAGATATAACTCCTTACGCTTTGTAGATCAACGATTTATCTTTATGTTTATTTGCTTTATTCTTGCTGCTACGTGTTGCAAAACATTTTAGAGTACTAGTTTTGATTTGATTTCTATGCACTTTCTTAATTCTATGTCTTTACATACCTAATCGTTTAGAGTTTTATTCTAGAATTG